CTGTAGGCAAACCGTACATGCGAGAGAGTTGCGCTTTGGGGGGTGGGTAGCCAAGTCGTGGGGCTACATGGCGCCACAAACCGGAATGCTGTATCTCACTTGGTTCCAAAGTTACAGGAGCTAGAAATTGGCCTTTTATTCCATAAATTAAACCCGATTTTTTCCGTCTTTCGTCTCTAGTTTTTCGCCAAAATGCAGGAAACATCTTTAAAACGAATTTCCAATCTCCCTCGGTCCCCCCAAATCGATTTCAGTCAAAAAAGAGAAAATTTTTTTTGGGTCCAACTTAGAAATTTTTCCTGATCAAAATGACTAAAAAATGGCCGATTTTTTCGGTTTTCATAGGTCAAACTAAAACCGCTACTGTAGGCAAACCGTACATGCGAGAGAGTTGCGCTTTGGGGGGTATGTAGCCAAGTCGTGGGGCTACATGGCGCCACAAACCGGAATGCTGTATCTCACTTAGTTCCAAAGTTACAGGAGCTAGAAATTGGCCTTTTATTCCATAAATTAAACCCGATTTTTTCCGTCTTTCGTCTCTAGTTTTTCGCCAAAATGCAGGAAACATCTTTAAAACGAATTTCCAATCTCCCTCGGTCCCCCCAAATCGATTTCAGTCAAAAAAAAGAAAATTTTTTTTGGGTCCAACTTAGAAATTTTTCCTGATTAAAATGACTAAAGAATGGCCGATTTTTTCGGTTTTCATAGGTCAAACTAAAACCGCTACTGTAGGCAAACCGTACATGCGAGAGAGTTGCGCTTTGGGGGGTGGGTAGCCAAGTCGTGGGGCTACATGGCGCCACAAACCGGAATGCTGTATCTCACTTGGTTCCAAAGTTACAGGAGCTAGAAATTGGCCTTTTATTCCATAAATTAAACCCGATTTTTTCCGTCTTTCGTCTCTAGTTTTTCGCCAAAATGCAGGAAACATCTTTCAAACGAATTTCCAATCTCCCTCGGTCCCCCCAAATCGATTTCAGTCAAAAAAAAGAAAATTTTTTTTGGGTCCAACTTAGAAATTTTTCCTGATCAAAATGACTAAAAAATGGCCGATTTTTTCGGTTTTCATAGGTCAAACTAAAACCGCTACTGTAGG